TCCATATTTCTGTAGAAAATTCCCGGAACTGCTGGATCAAGCCGAACACCTGATACTTTGTTTCATGCTGGCATTGTGGCTCCCAAAGACTGTCCCTTCAATTTCCTTCCAGTAGAGAGAGTTCACACACACTCTTATCTAAATGGACAGTAAGCTTTTTCAAAGAGTAAACTATGGTATACTGTTATTCCATGGCCCTTCCTTACTAGGAAATTCGATCATATGTTCATCTGTATTTCTTCTGACTGTCAGTATCCCTCACACACTTCCTCTCTGACTGGCCTTTTGCTATAGATGAACAGAATTTTACATGCAATCTGCTGGTGAGCAGGGCAAGCCTTTGGCAGTCCGACCACCCATTTATAAAATAAACACACAGACGCTTATATTATTTAAAAACTGTATGGTCATGGCAGGCTTCTTGCTAACTGTTCTTATATCTTAAATTAATCCATTTCTATAAATCTATACCTTGCCACGTGGCTCGTGGCCTACTGGCATCTTCACATGCTGCTTGTCTTGGTGGCGGCTGGCAGTGTCTCCCACTCAGCCTTCTACTTCCCAGAATTCTCCTCTCTCCTTGTCCCGCCTATACTTCCTGCCTGGTCACTGTCCAATCAGTGTTTCATTTATACAGAACGATATCCACAGCACTCTCTTTCCTGTACTGAGTGCTATAACTCTTGCCTTGGCTTTTAAACAAATTTTGAGGCTTCCAGGACTCCAGAACCCGCACCATAAACACCCAGAATTCTCAATCACTAGCTGCACCTTGCTTTGTTTTGTTTTGTTTTCCCATCTGGTATTGATTAATTAAAGTCTATATTCTCTGTTATTGTCACTAGATTTAGGGAACAAAGGAAGGAAGATAAAGACAAACACTGGGAGCTGGAGAGATGGCTCAATGATTGAGGGGACATACTGCTCTTGCAGAGGACCCAAGTTCAATTCCCAGCATCATATAGTGCAGCTCACTACATTCCAGCCAGGACATCCAATGTCCTCCTCTGACCTCCATGAGTACTGTACGCATGTGCACATAACCCACAGCAGTCACACATATACGTAATTTAAAATACACAAATACACAAATAAATGAAGATTTTAAAGACAAGCACTAACCAGAGTGTCCTCAAACAGGAGGCCCACTCTTTTTTCTGCTGGTCTCTGAGGACATGTTCAAATGCAAGCTTTCAAGTAACATAGAAGAAGAGTGGATTCTCTCTCTCAAAAGGAAGGCAGCACAAATACCAAGAGTTGCTAATAGGCATGTGTGGATTTTATACAAAAAAAGAAAGGTAAAAGTCATTCACTCCCAAAGGCAACAGCCACGACATGCTTAAGTGATAAGACTAATCAATTATTAAAGAAACGCCTTCTCCATTAGTTTTTAATTAAATGTGAGCATCCCCGGGGCACTGACAGGGAGTCCAAAGCTCAATTTTTCCAAATGATGGTGAATTTAACCTCAGGATTAGAACATCAAATATTAAAGCTGAGCATGTAACTAGAAATCTGCATGAGCGCGCAGGAAATCGTTTGATGATTGAGAGAATTCACAGTAGTATTGGATGTCTCAGAAAGGCAACCCATTTGAATATATGAATATCTCTTCTTTTTTTCTTTTCAGAAATAAGCCCTTGATACTGCTGAAGATAGTTTCCCCTAGAAACGAGCTTCAAAGCTCTTGAGGAAGAGACAGTAAGCCTGAAGGATCTGATGCTAAAGTCCCTTATAGACTGCACGCGAGTGAGCCAAGCCTTACAAGGATGCTGGTTGGGGGCAGAGTCTATCAGAGCAAGAATGAGAGAGAGAGACAGAAGAGTGTGTTGTGTGATATTTTGTTTGGTGTTCTGACAAATAAAGCTTGCTTGGAGTCAGAGGGCAGAGCTAGCCATTAGTTAACCATAGAGGTCTGGAGGTCTATACAGAAAGGAGACAGGAAGTGATAAGTCGGGGCAAAGAGGGGTTTGGCCCTTTTGGATGGAGGAATAGAAGAGGTATGAGGTTACTGGTGGCTGCTCCTGGTTCTCTGATCTTTCAGGTTCTTACCCCAATATTTGACTGCTGATTTTACACTGATAAAGATTAATTAGAATAACACATCAGAAGAGTATTAATGCCTATGAACATGACCTGTGTGTCCAGTAGGACCACCTACCCTGGAATGGAGAAGACTCAGCAGGACCTATGTTGTGTATCTAGCATGGAAAGCAGTGAAATATGGGGTAGCCATGTGAGCAGGGTAGGGACAAACGTGTCACCTCAAAGCCAGAGGAGAGTATAGGCACATGCTACAGGAAACAGGGACCACCAACCCTCAACAAATCACTCAGCGTTCTCCAGAAAGCAGAACTAATCCAATATGAATAGAACAATATTTAAGAAACAGTTTATATCACAGCTCCTATGCTTGTAGATCCTGGGAGGTCAAACCCTTACAGAGAGGACAGGCAGGCTGGAGCCCCGGAGAAGGACTGATGTTGTAGTTCAAATCCAAAGGCATCTGTTGCCTAAATTCCTTCTTCCCCAGACCTTGGTCTCACCGATATCTCAGGAGGACTTCAAACTGACTGGATGAGGCCCGCACACATTGTGGAGGCTAAGCCACTTCATTCAAAATCAGTTTGTTTAAGTGTTCCTGTCATTAAAACAACACCTTCTTGGAGCTGAGGAGATTGCTCAATCTGTACCATAGTTGCTGAGCAAGCAGAAGGACCTGAATTCAACCTCCAGCACCCACATAAAAAGCCGGGTATACTGGAGTACGCCTGGAATAGCAGTACTGTGAAGTCGAGACAGGAGGATCCCTGGAGTTTGCTGGTGGGCCACTTCAGCCAAATTGGTGAGCTCAGGGTTCAATGAAACACCCTGTGTCAAAAGATAAGGCAGAAGAAGACACCAGATATCAACCTCTGGCATATACATACAACAACTTCACACATACACATATAGCAACAAAGGCCAGGTTCACAGAAACATCTAGAATGGTGTTGGTCAAGGGCATACCCAAGACCATACATAAACATTGTGATCACCTTCCTCCTGGGCCCGTCCTGTCATTGAGGACATCTGAGACTTGGAGGCCTGTGTTACCTGAGATTATGAAGCCGGCAAAGGAAGGCTACTTGTTTTCTGTTGTTAGTGCATGGAAAGTAACCATGCTGTGTTAAAAGTCAACACCGCTAACTCAGACCACGACAGGAACAGGCCTAGCTAGTTGACTGGAAACAAATCCTACTCTTGTTGCTGAAGTTCATCCCTTAAGCCTTGGTCCTCAAGGTGCCACAAGACAAAGAAGCCATACTGTAGGCTTTCTTTGTTTTTTTTTTGTTTTTATTGCAGAAGGAGAAACGATCAAAGCTCCCCATTTTTCCTTTTCCTTGAAAGAGCAAAGACTTAGTCTGAACTCTCTGGGCTTCACATTTCTTCTGGAGCAAATGCTTCTGGGAAGAAAAAAAAAATATGTGTTTCTGAGATCAAAAGGTGACATTGGAACACCCGACAGGAATGTAGTTTTCTGTTTATAAAGGATTTGGCTGAGAGCAAGTTTGGCCGGAGTAGAGTGGACCCTGTATATAGGAGGGCTTTGTATGTGTGAATTCAACTACGGGTCAAAAGTGTGGTTTGGCCTCCTGTGGCTGCATCTGTACTGCACATGTACACAGTCCTTTTCCTTCTCTTTATTCCTTAGGATTTACATTTTAACAATGGCTTGAACAGCATTTGAATAATCCTCTTGTACACTGTAAAGATTTGCCAGTTGAATTGGTTTAATAAAACACTGATTGGCCAGTAGCCAGGCAGGAAATATAGGTGGACCAATCAAACTAAGGATGATGGGAAGGAGAAAGGCGGAGTCAACATTTGCCAGCCAGACAAGAGGGAACAGGAAATAAATGGGCCATACCCATAAAGGTACCACCACATGGCAAAGCATAAATAGAAATATGGGTTAATTTATATGTAAGAGTTAACTAGTAACAAGCCTGAGCTATTGGCCAAGCATTTATAATTCATATAAGCCTCTGTGTATTTATTTGGGACTGAGTGGTCAGGACAGGAAACATCTGTCTACACATTTGCATTGTATGAGGTATCATACATAATCTAAAGAAGATTGTATGCACACAGGAGTGTATGAATAGATTGCATATTCACATTCCAGGCCATTTGGATAAGAAGGAACTTGAGTATCAGCAGAGTTCTTAGCTCTGGGGATCTTCTAACCAATCCCCATTGAACATCAACAAATGACTATCCTCTCTGTTGTGGTTCAAACAGGAAATGTCCCCCATAGGCTCATGTGTTTGAACACATGGTCCCCAGATGGTGGTGCTGTTTCAGAAGGTAATGGAATCTTTAGGGTGTGGAGCTTTACTGGAGGAAGTACATCACTGGACAAGGGCTTTGAGGGGTTTTGCTGTTATTGTTGTTTTTGTTTTTTTGGGGGGGAGGGCATTCAAGACAGGGTTTCTCTGTATCCCTGACTGTCCTGGAACTCACTCTGTAAACCAGACTGGCCTTGAACTCAGGTCCACCTGCCTCTGCCTCCTGAGTGCTGGGATTACAGGTGTGCACCACCACCACCACCCAGCAGCCTCTAAGGTTCTATAGCCCTGATTCTACTTCCTATAGAGCATGTTTGAAGGACAACTTGCTTGCAGTACGTTTTATAGTCTATAGAACTGTTGACTGCAATTTTTACTTTTCCTTTAGCTCTGGGCCCAGAATGAGCTGAAGTGGTGTTGAGGGGCTGGGCTTCTGTAGCCCGAATACCATCTGTCCAGCCTTCTTGTCTTTGAGAGGCTTTTCTTCTCTGGTAGTTCTAAGAAGGCTGTCAATCATGTGGGTTCTTTTTTTTTTTTTTTCCACTCTGAGTATCACAAGAGTTTATTTAGCAAAAAGTTTCGTATGAAAATGTACATGACCCAGTTCTACACCCCGATCAAACAGTCCTTAAAGGAAGGATGTGGGCTCCTCTGCTGACCAGCCATTGTTTAGACTCTTTCCAAGGCTTCTAATGTGACGATGCTGTTTCCTCGTATGACCACCATGCCGATGTTGTCCTGTTGCCCACTAGTTGCCATCTCCACACACTCATCAATCACAAGACTCATAAAGGGATCAGAGTCCCGTAGTCTTCCTTGTACATGTCGGCCACCATTTAACTTCAATGATAACTTCTTGTCCATAAATGTCTTCAGCTCGGGAGGGTGGGCCTTGCTCATGGCGACACTTCAGCGGGCTGGTACGGTGGAAAAAAGCTTATGTGGGTTCCCTTGACCCTGTGCAAGTGAGTATGTGACTCACGCTAGCCAATCTACATGCTCTCTTTCATTGAAACTGTGATGGGGTGTGTGTGTGTCATGTGACCTAGGTTGATGCCTGAGCTGTTTATAGAATTGATATAAATGTGGAAGAAGAAAATCTTCCTCCTTTAGTATTTGGAGATGTCATTTTTATCTTCTTTCTTAAACAGATATGCAGGAGTGCTCCCCTGACCATTCCACCCAGAACTTCAGAGTGTGACCCTATTAAGAAATAGAGTCTCAGAGGAAATAATTTCCTTTGATCTAAGGAGCATCCTAAATCCCATGACCAGTGTCCTACTAAGAGACAAGAACAGAAGGCACAGAAAAGCAGGAAAATGTAAAGGTGGGAATGACCAGAAGCTGGGGAAGAGTGACCTTGGTTGTCTCTGAAAACTTCCCTATCAGGGTGGCATCGTGTCTGGACTGGGGTAAGGGCTGTCTCTTAGTTAGTTTCCTGTTGCTGTAATGAAATAGCCTGACAGAAGCAACTGAAGAGAGAAAGGGCTCACTCTGGCTCACACATTCAGGGTCTGTAGATACATTCAGCCTATCACAGTATAGAAGTCATGTAGCGGGAGCTTGAGAGGCTGGCCACATTGTATCCACCTTGTATCAGTAGAGAACAGTGAATACTGTCCTCAGCTCATTTGCTCCCGGGGCCAAGGAAGGGAGCCACATCAATCTAATCTAAATTCCCCCTCAGCCATGCCTAGAAGCATGTCTACCATGTGATTCTAGACCCCACCAAGTTGAAATCTAGGTTAACTATCACAGGTTCCCTGCCAGACAGAAGACTGTTGACCCTGTGTATATTTACTTGGAAGAAAAAAAAAATATATCACAAAGCTCTCTGGTGTCTTCTTTCACAACGGCATTAATGCCATTCATGAGAATTTTGCTGTTAGTTCTCATAGCGGCAGCCAGCAATTACGTCATCACCTGTCACCAGCTGCCTTTCCACCGTCAGATATTCGACGTATATACCCCTTAAAAGTATCGCCAGGCACAGCTCGCTCTCTTGTTTCTCTCTTACCTTTCTTGCCTCTCTTGCCTCTTGTTCCTCTTTCCTGTTCTCTCTGTCTGTCTGTCTGTCTGTCTGTCTGTCAGCCTGCCTCTCTCATGTCCCCACTCAGAAACAGCCTTTGCTCTTTCACTCTCCCCTCCCCCAATGAATCTCTTGCACTAACTCTGTTTATTGGACATGGCACGTTTGCTAGGCGGCACTTCTTGACAGGGCCCTCTGAGAGGTACCCAGCTTGCCTTTTTCTTAATCCTTCATTTGCCCTCATAACTTAATTCCTTCCTTATGTTCCCCAGCTTCTGGTGTCATCACAGTGGGGTTAGTTAATTCAACATACATATTGGGCTGGAATCTCCTGCTCAGTCCCATTCCAAACCCCTGCTCTCTCAGAAAGACCACCGCCAAAAAGTATAATTCTGTATTCCTGGCAGTCACGGCAGCTCCTACTCTGAGGCTGCCAGCTCCCCAAGTCCCCACCTAAAACTTATGATTGGGCACAAACTATATGTGGCAGATGCATCATCGCCCCATGCCTACAGGATATTTAAACCCCCTCCTCTAGACAGGCTGTGTGATCTCTCTCCTGCCTTCCTCCCCTACCTCGAACTCTGGGGACTGGAAGACTCACCTGGGAGTGCTTTGCTCAAATACATCTGATCTTTTAGTTTTTGATTTGGCTTGATCTGGCTTACTGCTGTTGGTGGGGAAACCTATTATTGGGGGTATGGAAACCTTTCAATTTTAATCTGCTAGATAGCTGGACAAGGATCAACATGCTTGGAAGCCACTGAGGATGGATCCCTCCCTTATGATCAGCTTTGCTCCCAGCTCCTGATTCCCTGGTAACCCTTGAAAGGAAAGCATCATAATTGCTCCCTTAAGATTTAAAACTCCGTGTGAAAAGATAGAGATTTCAAGGCTTCATTGAGGTCTAGTAAGGAAAAACTACCTCCTCCCAGTCAAAAGAAAGGAATCTGAGTTCTACCCCTTGGCCCTGAGTAGAAACTCAACATTCTGCTCTGCTCCAAAGATTAGAGCATCAAGAATGGCTGTCTCCTCCTTTAAGAGCTGATCTAACTTGGCCTGTCAATCACCTGGCCAAGAGACCATGTCTCAGTAAAGCTAATTCACCTGAAGACATACTAAGGAGATGGGAGGAATAATTATCCCCTTAACGAGATAATGCACTCATCCTTTCCAGAAGTCTTTGCACCCTGTCATACTTTTCCTTTTCTTTTATCTTTTTTTCTTTTGAACTGACCAAAGCCTGAGCATGCTTTCCCTGACACCTTAGGCTTTTTGGATTTTTCTCTGAAGTCCTTCCCCACCCCCACCGCACCTCTTGCTGTGGTAGCTGCTCACCCACCCTGTGGCTGATTATTGACCTCCGTTATTGAACCTGACTGCTTTCTCAGACCCTAACTCAACAGGCATGGCTTTCTACGCTGTCTTTCTAAATATCTAGCCTGCTTGTGTTGTTCCAGAGGCCAAACTCCTTTACCTAGGACATCATCAAAAGACACATCTACAGTAACCTCCTGCTCCAGAATTTCTGTTTCCAAAGACTACCCCAAAACACATCTGATGAGGATGATGTCTCAGCTAATGTTCAATTGCTGTGAAGAGACACCATGACCAAGGCAAGTTTTATAAATAAATTTAATTGGGGATTGCTTATAGTTTTACAGAGTTAGTCCATGATCACTGTGGTGGGGAGCAGATGGGGCATGGCTCTAGAGCAGTAGCTGAGAACTTCAGATCCTGATCTGTAGGCAGCAGGCAGAGAGCAAGACACTGGGCCTTAGCCGGGCATTGGTGGTGCATGCCTTTAATCCCAGCACTCAGGAGGCAGAGTCAGGTGGATCTCTGTGAGTTCCAGGCCAGCCTGATCTAGAGAGTGAGATCCAGGACAGGCACCAAAACTACACAGAGAAACCCTGTCTCAAAAAACAAAACAACAACAAAAAAAGACACTGGGCCTGACACAGGCTTTTAAAATCTCAAAGCTGGCCCCTAGTGACACTAGTTCTCTAACAAGGCCATACCTACTCCAAGGCCACACCTCCTAATCCTTCCCAAACAGTTCCCCTAATTGGTGACCAAGCATTCAAATATATCAGCCTATGGGAAGGCATTGTCATTCAAATCACCACAGATGCTACGCCTGTTCAGCAGAAAGTAGTTAGAATGAAAACTCCTTTTCCATGGATCTAATAAAATCAAAGGGTAAGAATGTTATGCCTGATCACAACGTTTTGTAAAGCTCTTCCATTTTGACTAAGCAATGCAATTCCCAAAACCCATTTGGCTCCCACTTGTTTCTCTGGCTACCCTGTAGATAAATTTCTAAACAGTCTTATTAAATAAGAAACACAGAGCCAAATACAGAGGTAATAGCCAAAGAGATCAGAGCAATAGCCACCATAAGCTTTAGCTTACCACCAGCAGTAGCTTCCCCAGAGAGAGCTTCTTCCTGTGTAACCTATGTTTTTATTGCCTTTCTGTTCTGATTTCTCATTGGCTCTAAGCCCAGCCACATGACTTCCTCATCACTGCCTGTCTATACAGACCTCCAGGTCTCTGTGGTTGGTACTGGGATTAAAGGCTCGTGTCACCACGCTTGGCTGTGTCCTTGACCACACAGAGACTCTGCCTGCCATGTGATCAGATAAAGGGCCTGTGCTACCACCACCTGACTCTGCTTATAGCTAGCTATGTGACCTCTGATCTCCAGGCAAACTTTATTTATTATACAAACAAAATCACATTTCAGCACAATTAAAATATCACCACACTACCCAGTAATGGCTGATGATCAAAGATGTTTATCGGTCACCTGACCTCCTTCCACTCACCACTTCCTTTCTAGCCACCCCAGTAACTACTGACCATAGACCCAAAGTGGGAAGACTTTAGTCCCCTTTACCCTCCCCCTTTACATCCTATAACTACTCCAACTTGAAAGGGTTCTGTGGGCTCTGGTTCTTACACTAGAGGCCCCCTCCACATGTCCTTTCTGGTCACTCATCACAGAGGCACTGATCCTTTGTCTTTCCTCCTCAAAGACCTCAGGGTACAGCTTGAACTGGGCCTTGAAGGAAGGAAGCATTGGATGCTGTTGGCACAAATCCAAACGGATCCTTAGAAAGATTCTTTGAGTCCTCATAATTGCACGCTACTCTCCACCCAAAAATAGATACAAAGGAAATACAAGTAGGTGTGTGGGATGATTCACTTCAGCAACCTGATTTTCCTGTATCAGTTTGCCTTTGAATCTATTGCTTACCATCGTGTCATATTAATGAGTCGGCTAATTTTATTCCTGTTCCAAAGAGAACCATGTAATAAACTCGGGGGCGGGGGTGGAAATCGGGGCACATCACTCTTGTATTCACAGATTTTAATGGAACACCGTGAACTCTGCCTTGCAGCATCTTGATTTAAATCAGCATTTAATAATGAGAATACTGAGGATCTGCAAGCAACCAGGAACAAAATCTATTTCAGTGGATTAGCCAGAAGTAACTCATCAATTTCTGATTGATAGAAACACGTTTTTCTTCATTGAGAATACTGAGGATCTGCAAGCAACCAGGAACAAAATCTATTTCAGTGGATTAGCCAGAAGTAACTCATCAATTTCTGATTGATAGAAACACGTTTTTCTTCATTCTTGATGAAAACAGTGCTTTGGAATTGTTCCTGCTTGAATGTTACTACAAAGGCCGTGTGGGGAAAACTTAGTCCTTGAAGCAATAACATGGGGAAGTAGAGTCTGATGGGGGGTGTTCGGGTCATAAAGACAGAGGAACATCAGGATATTGATCGCTGCTGGGGTAGGCTCCTTAACATGGGAGTGGGTTTGTTATAAAGTCAAGGTTTATGCCCTCTTGCC